TGAAGGAACAGGCACAGGATGATCACAGTACCACAAAATCACCAGATTGGAAAAGACTTTTAAGATCATCGAGTCCAACCATTAACTCAACACTGACAAGTCCTTGACTAAACCACATCCCTGAGCACTATGTCTACATGACTTTTAGATACCTCCAGGGATGGAGACTCCACCATTGCCCTGGGCAACTGGTTCCAATGCCATGATGCTGGAGGCCCTCAGTGGCCAGTCACTGGTCATCAGAGGAATTATAATTTGGGGGGTAGGGAAAAACCAGCCTTAAACAAAGAGAACAAAGAACAAGCCTCTGACATGTGTAAATCACACCAAGTAGAGTTAATTCAGAAGTGATGTGGAGTTACACCAAGGAAGAGCGAGCGTGTTGCCAAAGGTGTACAAGTTACCCTGGTTTCCTACAGCCAGTTGGAGAGTGAGGAGGAAAAACCCGTCAGCAAAAATATCGGCTTCTCCCGGCAAAGGCTGAGGATGCTGACGTGTGCTGTGGCACCCCACACCCTCGTCCCAGTCACAGAGAGGTAGTGAAAGGCGAGCAGAGTCCCCAAGAAAGGGGGTGGGTACAAAGAGCTCAGTGAGTGATGATGTTAATTGTACATGACAGAAATTATTGGTGTCATTGTAACCGGACTAAAATTATTTTATTGATTCAACTCTTAAGACATCAATGAAACTAACGATAAATTCATGACTTTGTAAAGGAGCAACTTTCCTTTTGCATGCGACAAAATGTTGAGTGTAAGAAATAGGTAGGAATATAAGGAACTTAGTCCCTAACTTGCATGCAAGGAGTTGGTAAAGTTTGAGGGCAAGAGTGCTGTGATAACAACCAAAGCATCTCTCTGAAGGCCATCCTGTCCTCCTGTGGGTGAGCCAAGACGTGCAGGTAGCGTTGGTGGTCTCAGAAAAGCCCTGGCCATGCCAGTGCTCAAGTGCCAGGACTTTAAAACCAGATGTCGACTGTTGCGGAGGCCTCCTGGGAGCCTCAGTGCATCCTGCCCAGCCAGAAGTTCTTCTTCCTCGGTGGCTTCCTTCTGGGTGTTGCAGATTTAGGGGTGAGAGCAAGTCAGGGGGGTGAGGGGTGTCCATGGGTGGGCAAGGCATGGCCATGGTCGCCCTCCCACAAGCGGGTTTGGGTGAGAAGGTGGCTGAGGCTCTAGAGGAGCTGGCTGTGGACCCGCTGGGTGGCTCGGAGAGGGGTGAGGGAGGCTCCTGTGCTGGCGAGTGGGTGCTGGAGAGCTGTACGCGCTGCGGGGGGGCAGGGGAGGCTCTGTGGGCGATGAGGTGCCGGGGGCCCAGGGCTGGTGGTTGGCTGGAGAGGGCTGGGCTGGGGGCTGCTGTGGGTGCGGGGGTGGCTGCAGCGAGGGGTGCTGGGGGTGCTGGTGGGGGTGTCAGTGATGGGGTGGTGGGAAGCACTAGCAGCTGTGGTGCTGGGCTCGTGGGACTTCTGGTCCCCCCATGCTAAAGGGGTCTGTGATGGGCTCCTGCAAGTTCCTGCCTCTGCCACCTCCTCATTCCACAAGCCCCCAGGCTATCCCTGCTGAGCCTAGAAGGGCCAAGATACTGACGTTTTCCCATGTCACTGGGGAAAGAAATTGCACCTAAAGCCTGGTCTGTCTTGAGCCAGGAGCTGGTGGAAGGGTCCCATTGGTGTCCTGGTGCCTCCTGTGGAGGAAACACTGGGTGGTGCACTGAGCCAGGCATCTCACATTTAAGAAACTTGCCAGAGGCGTGAAAATGTTAGTTTGACTCTTGGAACATTTTTTGCCCTTATGTTTGCTGTATTTTTCAGGCAGGAAAGCCCAAAGAGAGTGAGACATCACTGCATTCCCCCAGCTTGGTGTTGACAAGAAGGAAAATCCCAGGACCCTTAAATCCTTTGGGACAGCCTTGTTGGGAAAATGACCCACACCTCGAAGGCTGAGTGTGGACTGCCCCAACGCAACAGGAGTGGGGAGCATGTCCTGTCCTGCCAGCATGGCCTGTGCTTTCCTGGGGGGCTGCTCTGCTCCAAACCTTGGCACCTGACAAGTATCTTTCCTGCACTTTAGAGCTGTGGCTTCCCACACCGCTCGCCCTGCTCTTTGTCGAGGGAGGCTGGCAGCACGACCCTCCCAGCTCCTCTTCCGCAGGTTGGACAGCACAGACAGGCCAGTGCTCCAGTCCATCAGTATTCCTGAAAGAATCCTGGACTGCGGCTTGTCATCACGTTCTCTGAGTAACCGCAACTTGACTCAGTCCAGGCAGTTCATCAAACAACGCTTGGTGTCAGAGGTTAAAAGGTGTTCATAGGAACTAGTTGGTTTTTCATCTACATCTTTTCGGATTCACTTCTTCAGTGTCTCAGGATTGTTTTGCCTTTTAAGCCCACCAGTGGGCGCACAGGGAGTCTCTGCCTGCAAACGGGTGTGTGAGTGTCCCAGGAACGCTTTCTTAATCGAAAGAAAGATGTGACAAATGTGGAAACTGGCACTAATGGGGCAAAGGAGCCAGGGCTGCCCCAGGGAGAAGTCTCCTCTCTGCTCTATGCTTACCTGGGGGCAGCGGGAGTTTGGTGGTGGGGAGAGCTCTGCCCACGGGCCCCGGAGTTCATGTGCTGGGGACACAGAGGGGCTTGGGCAGGGGGACAACCACTGCCTTCAGAGGAGGTGCTGGCCCCAGGGGTGGGGTTCACAGGAGGACAAAGCAAAATGAAGAAAAAGCCTTCAGAAGCGGGACACTCCAGAAATCTTCCAGGAGAACCATTATGGTGAAAGAAGCACTTTGGCTTGTGTGAGGACCGTGGCTGCCCCAGGGCACGGAGCTGACACCACATCTGGGTCTGTCCCAGCCAGCGAATTCAAAGAGCAAACTGCGAGCAGACTGAGTGGCAAGACAAAGGGGTCTTTAATAATGAAGGTGTTGCTGGTAACATAGGTAAGGAAATGTGCTTGCTTTACAAGTTTGAAGCTGACAGCATCCCTTTAAATAAGGAAATACATTTGCTGAGGGGAGGAAGTTATCTGGAAAGCCCTGTACAATGACTCGGTGTAGCAGCTAACACTACTCTGTCTCAAGTGCTCTTAATATTCTCCACAGACCGGCTTCAAAAAACCTCTCACTTTTAGAAAAAAAAATAATCTTTTTTAAAAAAAAAATGCAACCTGTGATCATCTAATCCTAGCAGTGCACTGTGACCATTTGTACAATAGAAAAGTGGTGCTTTAAATAGTGACTTGAAAGCTACCGCCACGTGCTTTATACAGCATGCAACAACGCCAGGAACCGGAGACGCAGCAGAGGCTGCAGCGGCTCCTCTGACAGCTCTGGGAGCGCCCGGCCGAGCCACGGCCAGAGCCCGCTGCTGCACCTCCGGTGTGCTGCCCTTCCAGTAACACAAATATTAAATACGCTCAGTCTGTAAATAGTTTAACAATCTTTGTCAGCAACAATATTTACTTTGGCAAAACCAGGATTGCAAAGAAGCAGACGTGTCCGTCAAACAGTCTGCAGCAAGTTCTTTGGTGGAAGCCAAGAAGTGAAGCAAAGGCTCCTTCTTGCCGGAGCCTGAGGAAGGATATTGCACAGAGACTCGTACGAGAAATGCTGGTGACTTCAAACGGGAGACATCACTGCAGGAGAGCATCCATCTCTGCCGGCTTCAGGAGAACTGGCTCCTCCAGGCTCAGCGATTCACAGCCGTTCTCCGACGGCCTTGCTCTGGGCTGAGTGAGCAGTGACGCTGGAGTGAACTCAGGAAGAAGGGGATGGCTGCTCGGGATCAAGGAGGAAGAAGGACGGAGGGATGGGTGGCAGAGGAGTGGCGGCAAAAAAAGCAGATGCTCGCAGAAAACCACAGCCACACAAGGGCCCACTCAGCCCTGCCCCACGTGCTGGTCGCTGAGTGTCCCCTTCTGGCTGCCCCCGCTCCCAGGTCATGCAAGGTGGTAGAGATCCATCCCGACGTCTGGCTGTGCAAAGGACAGCCCCTCCAAAGCCTGGCTGTATTTTACACGTGACTTGCACCTAACTTGAACCAAAACACATTACACATCTCTTCATCCGTACCATACTCGCTGGGACACAGCAGCTCCGTTGAGACGCCACGTCCCTTCGATATCTACACCTGCAGCCTCGGCAGCTGCCTCCAACCTCCAGAGCTCTCCACTCCAAGGTCACAGGCTTCAGCCTGATTCAGTTCAGACTGTAGCTGTGACAGCTCCTGAGCTTTCAGCCCCTAGGCACCATGGGGACATGACACGATGCCACCATGACCTTGGTGGTCTCCACCTCTCATCCATGTGGAGCAGAGCTGTGCAGGGACCTGGCAGCGCTGCTTCGGGGGCAGGAGGAAGGAAGGAAGGAAGGAAGGAAGGAAGGTGAGCCTGGCTGTATGGAGGAGTGTGCTTGTTACCCTGGCTGGCTGGGGGAGAGGAGAGGAGAGGAGAGGAGAGGAGAG